TAAATATTAACGAAAACAATAAATAAGTTTTTAAACGAATTACAATAAATAAATTTTTAAAAATAACCTCGCGCAAAAGAAAGCAGTCTTTAAAAATTCTGAATTTTATTCTTGTTTTGTGAAATCATAACATTTTGTAAATAATAAATATTAACGAAAACAATAAATAAGTTTTTAAACGAATTACAATAAATAAATTTTTAAAAATAACCTCGCGCAAAAGAAAGCAGTCTTTAAAAATTCTGAATTTTATTCTTGTTTTGTGAAATCATAACATTTTGTAAATAATAAATATTAACGAAAACAATAAATAAGTTTTTAAACGAATTACAATAAATAAATTTTTAAAAATAACCTCGCGCAAAAGAAAGCAGTCTTTAAAAATTCTGAATTTTATTCTTGTTTTGTGAAATCATAACATTTTGTAAATAATAAATATTAACGAAATGGCGCCAATCAGAGATAAACGCATCATGACTATCAACCCCTATGGTAAGAAAGATAATGTCAAGTGCGATGAATTAGCGTCAACTCCGAACCTGTGATTATAAAGGGAGGGGAGAAAACTTTGAGCGAGGCACACCTGTGACTTTGGGGCAGAAAGGATTCTCCCGTATTATCGATGTCATGCTTGAGGGAAGAAAAATCGCCCATATTTCTCCTGAAATGAGCATTTCTTCTTCTGGTTGACAAGGAGCATTGTCTATCAGCAAAACTGCTTTAGGTGGGAGATTTAGCTACGCCAAATGTTCCTTTACATGCGACACAAAGTCATCATAGAACCACTTTTAAAAAATTTTGGAATTCATCCAAGCAGACCTCTGATTTGTGTATTTCACAGGCAAAGAATTCACATTAATATTTATGAATGGTCTCAACTTTTTTTGATTTACCGATGAGAAGCAGGGGTAATTTATCAATTCCACTTGCATTTGTTCAAACTAGAGGGGACACTCGGTCTTTGCTCTTCTTGTAACCCGTGGCACTGGCTTCTTCTTTAGATGCCAAAGTTTTCAATAGCATCATTCTGTAAAACATACCAGTTTCATCACCGTTATAAATTTGATCTAATGTCAAATTTTCTTTTTCAATCATTTCTTCAAATCTTTCAACAAAGTCTTTAGCAGATTCTATATTGGCAGACAACTTTTCACCTGCAATCGTCAGTTGTCGAATTCAGGCTTTCTCTTTTAGAATGTTCCCGGAAATAGGATTGCCCCGCGCGTTGTTGCTTGAACCAAAGATAGACTGCTTCATCAAGTTTTTCAGTTTTTTTCTTTCTTTTATGTCGGTTGTTCTTCTAAGGCTTTTGACGAATCCATCTTTGAACAAAAAGCCTCTATTTGAGCTTTGTTACATCTCCAATCGCCTACAGTGGTTTCACCAACTCCAAATTCAAAAGCAATGTTTTTCAAACTCTCACCATTATTAACTCCTTTAATAACCTCAAGCTTTTTACTCATCGAAACAACAACTCTTTCTTTTTTTGGTTTGGCATTTTAAAAATGAACAACTTACTAGTGCAATGGTCAAACGTGAAATGATTTAGGCAATGGTTCACTATGAAATAGGAGATTCGTGAGAGAAAAGGCAAACAGAAGAATGCTATGAAACACAAATGCCTATTGTAAAAGTCGCCAATCCCCTCCCCCAACAGGGGGAGGTGTAAGTGTCCTATAACATATTTCACCTGGTATTCAATAGGGTCACATGACCACTATTAACAAAGCATTCATGAATGTTGTCTTCTCAGGGTGTAATTTTTCTTGGCAGTTGAGTGTTTTTGTGGGGAAGAAGTGCCTGTAACACAGACAACGAACTAAAATGTGTATAATTTTCTCCAAGCTCATTTTGGAAAAGATAAAAAAAAGATTTAAAAAAAATTCGACTTCGTTATTGCCTCGGTTAATCGAGGTTCTACTGTATCATAAGAAAAATATTGAGCAATTAGGAAACAGAAACAAGCATAGTTATTGTGGGAAATAAGAGGAAATTCTTTTTTATGTACCTATTTTTTAAAAACTGTTGGTTGTGAAAAGGTTTGAAATTTCAGATATGGTTATTTACAATTGCTATTATTGCAAATAATTTTATATCTTTATAATTTTATTAACTTATTTATCTTATACACCACAAGCATAAAAAACTATTAAATTTGAAATATTGATTCAAGCAAGTTATTAAGTTGTTATTTTGTCTTTAGAGAGCGATTTCAGTAAATAATTTTCAAATATCAGATTAATTTATTTGAGATTTTTTTTAAGGAAACTTAAAATTTATCTAAGTTTTGATATATTTTTTTAACTATGTTCAATTATGAAATAATGTTATTCAGACGTTTAGAATTAAAACAAGAGGTCCAAAATTTTATGAAGCCTATTTGTATAGATTAAAATGTTTAGAAGAATTAAATAAATGAACCAATAATTTAATAATAAAATTATTGTTTTCTATTTAGCTGAGTTTTATTAAATTTGTTTGCTCATAGCAGCCCATAAGAACACTCATCCCTACTGCTTTTTTGAAAGAGGGGTGTGGGGAGGTTGTTTATAATTGCCTTGACCTGTCCCGTAGTGAACTGATCCTAAAGACACGGTTCCCAGTAGAACACTGAAGTCAAGCATCACTGGTTGCGGTCAGTAAGTGGGTGGGTGCCCACTTTAATCAGCCTGTAGGGACCGAGGGTGTGCGGTATCGGTCCTTGTTGAACTGTTCTATCGTAAAGTGCTCGACTTAGCATGCAAGTTGTTGGGCTACCAAAGCAGGAGAGACATCCTCTCTTCAGAGGATCAAAATTGCGATGGCATGTCTTCGGATCATCCTCGGGGTTGTTTCCCAGACCTACCCCATTAGCTCATTGTGCAGCTCGTGTGCGATTTTAATAAAGTACATACCTACCTACCTGCCTTGACCCGGTAATGCTCCTGGATTTTTTGTCTTGACTTTCTAATACTCCTGGAATGTTGAGTAATAGAAGTGTGTTTCATATTTAATTTTGTTCACTTTTTTCATGTCAAAGTTTAAGAGGTTTAGCCAGTATTAGAAAGCTCACATTTATAAGAGGTTTGATAAATACCCTTGTTGCTTTTGTCAACTATTGAATCTCTAATATTAGGGAAATTGACTTCATTGGGGTAAAACACTATTTCAAAATCCAAATTTTTTATAATTTTATTGAAATGGGAACTGATTATTAGATGATATGGTGAAACAACTAAGTTATTAAAGTTAGAAGTAAAGGATAAATTAAGAATTGATTATTACTGTATCTTTTCATGTTGATCTTGTGTCATTTTCTAGCAGCATAGATTTTAACGTTATATCCAATTCAGTGTGATTTATTAACTTTTTAACACAAACTGAATTTAAGACAGAATAGGACTGAATAGTTTTCTTAAAAAAAATTGATTTGTCTTTCAATCATTTAGTGGTATAAAACTTCTCAGCAAGGAATTCATACAAATTTGTGAAATGAAAAGTTAGAATATATTTGATACTTCAAAATGTTCCTTTTTTGTCCTGTTCCTTTTTTAAAATTGAATTTTTTGTAATGCAGGTTGGGTTGTTGGCTCACTTGATATTTTGGGTAATCCAGCTACTTTTGCCCGTGCAGTTGGTGCTGGAGTTGCAGATTTTGTTTATTTACCTTATAAAGGATTACTGAAGGGACCAAAAGCATTTATTACCGGACTTTCAAATGGTGCACTGTCTCTTTTTACTCAAGTATCTTCAGGTAAAGATCATTTAAGACATTATGAATAATATTTTAATTTAGATATATTTATTTAACAACAGGGCTGGCTAACTTTGAGTGTGTGATGTATCAATTTTGCCATAGTCTCTGCACCATTTTACCTTCATTTAACCATGATCTACCATATGCAATTATATGTATTTTTAAATATATAGGTAAAACTATATTCTTATAAGTTTATATGACTGAATGCTGAATCAATAATATTAAACTTGAAGTTAACTTTTTCTAATTTATAATGTGCTGCTTAAATATACTATTTGAACAATCTTCAAAGCCGTTATTTCCCATCTTGAAAGAATTTCAGAGTGAAGTTATAACAAAAATTAAATTTTTAACAAAGAAATTATGCTTAATAGAGAAGAAAATAAGTTATTTTGATTTTTATGGTTAAAACAAATTTTTGGTAGATTAGGTTGGTTGGTAGATAAGGGTGGAGTGTGGAACTTATCAAGTAATGTAAAAATAAGCATACTTTTGAAACTGTATGAAGACCTGCCTTCTTAGATTTTCGAGTACTGCAGTGAATTTCAAAGATATTTAAAAATTACAAAATAATAATTAAAAATAATTGCTTTTAGTGAAGTTTTTTTTTTCCTATTTGGGATGATAGCAAAATTTGATGTCTTTTTTGTAAGCTACTTATGGCATACAATTTGTCTACCCCTGTTTCATAGTTTCATGAAGCATTGTTTAAATGTCTTTCAAGTTTCAGTGAGAAAAAACACCATAATATCCGTAACATTTAGCCTGTTATCTGCTGAGACCGAAAAATGGCGTGAACGTACGATGGAATTGTTGTGAGCAGAGCGTCTCAGAAAGTGATAACTCAAATTTGAAATTCCTATATCTTATTAATATTATATTAAAAATGTCGGCATTGGAAAAAACTGAGTAGAAATAGCTGAAAACTACAAATAACCAGTAAATAATCAGTAAGTGACGTGGATTTATGATAGAATCATCACGAATTGAGCGTGTCAAAAAAGATTCGTGTGCTACAATAGCATCAAGATTTGGAAAAAAAATGTTTTGAAATAGCTGAAAATGTTGTGAATCATTTCAAATCCTTTTTCGTTAAGAGCATAAATTTTTATTGTTTTTTAACTCAATATTAATTTTTAAAAACATTTTCTCTTCGAGTCCAATTTTTAGAGTTTTCCTGATTTCAGAAATCTGGATTTTGGAGATCGTACTATAAAAAAGTAACAAATTTAAGAAATAAATATTAAATTGTAATAATAAAATTGTGTTTAACATTTTACTTGTCTTAATTTAATTAAAACTTTTTAATTGATACAGATTTCACTAAAAAAAATTTTTTTTGCTTTTTCGATTTTTTTATTGTACTTTACATCTTCAGATCTTTGTGCTTTATATATCCTGTAATAAATTCGTTTAAGTTTGTTCATTATTTGAAGGTATACTCACATGTATGGCAAGCTTAACTGCTAGTATTTCCAAAAATATGGATTATCTATGTTTGGATGAAGAACATTTAGCTCGTCAGGAAATGGTTCGTCATCGCTTGCCTCAAGGAGTTTCTGAGGGTTTATTTCAAGGTCTAAGTGTATTTGGGCTCAGTCTTCTCAGTAAGTTTTTCTAAGATCTTGTGAATTATCAAAACTGCATTATATATTCTGACAGCTAATGAAAACTCTACAAAATTAAAATTGCAATTAATTATAATGAAATTTAATTAATTAATAATTAAATAATTAATAATCAATTAATTAATAATTTTTTACTAACTTATCATTGGCATTTAATTCCCAGTGGGGAAACTCTATTTTTCTCCTGTATTTCATTAGTAGTTAAAAAAAAATTTGTCTCGAGTCACTTAACTGTGTAAATGATGAAAGTCTTGAAACTCATCAATAAGGGAAAAGAGCTATTAGAGAACACTACTGTCCCAAAAGTATGTTTTTTTATTTTTCTGTATGCAAATTTTTATAGGTGCTATTGCTGGTATTGTTGATCATCCTTTACAAGTTCTTGTTTCTCCATCCACACCCATTGAAACTGCATCTGGTGTTGTTAGTGGATTAGGTAAAGGCATTGTTGGTATTTTCACTAAGCCAATTGGTGGTGCTGCGGAATTATTTTCTCAGACTGGTTATGGTAATAAATTATATTTCTTTTATCTTGTCTGTGCTTTATGTGATACATTACATGTGCATTAGAAGTTATCTGAACTAAAGAAATAATTTTGAAATGTTTAGTGCCTGTCAAGTCCATGAAATATTTTTTTGAAAAAATCAATCGCATTTTAAAATTTAAGAAAACTTGTAAAAAAAATTTTTTATATGCTACTTACACCATGTTTCTTTTTAAAAAAATTTTTTTCTTTGAATTTTTTTTTTTAATGCTTTGAAATAAAATGTTTTTAACTATTTTCTCAAAACCTTTTAGTTATTGGCAAGGTTTTAAAAGCAAACATATCATTTACTTGATTAAAAACTTAATTTGCTACACAAATTATACGAATTGGAAATAACAGTCAAGAGCTCAAAAACAGGCACCCATTTTTGTCTGCTCTTTGAGTGCTTGAAACATGTCAAATGCTATTTCCGATTTATATAATTTTTTATTTGAATGAAGTTTTTTATCAAGTAATATAATATCGCTAAAGTTTCTTGTGATTGATAAAATAAGTGCCCAACATTTTTACACATTTAAAACTTTCCATTTCAGTTTAAAACGTGCCTCAAATTTGAAAATCACTCATTGCTTACTCACACAAGATGATAAATTCTATGTAGCCTTGCTGTATATAATTTTTTTTTTATAATTTTGAAGGTCTCTTAATTCAAATAATCTTCCTCCCTCTCATTCATTTGACCAATTACTTATTTAACCTCAAGGGTACATAAATCAAACTTTCAATTACCGAAGTGAAGCAAATATGGAATTTTTTATTATAACTAAGACAGAATTTCTTACAACTTTGCTCAGACATTAGTACATGGGGCACAAAATTTATGATTTTGGAGTATATTATGGAATTCTCTTCAATTGACAAAGGGAATGGAGAAAAAAAAAGAGAAGTTCCTTGAGAGATTAAATTATGACACCATATTACTGAAATAGTAAAAGAAAATGAATCTTCCAAATCAACTTTGTTTATTGGAAATTTGCAGGTAAAAGAGGTTCAGATAATATTTTATGTTATATTTTACAAAATCAAGGAAATTAATTTTAGTTACAAACTTATTTACAAAAACACCACCAAGAGGAATACTATTCCAAGAGGAATACTATTGGTGGTGTTTGTTGAGTAAGACATTAATATTAATGATTGATCAACTTTAAGTGCCCAAAATGTGTTTTTCCTTCAAAATATTGTTTTAGAATCACTATTTTCGTACTTATCTTAATCATTTCTAAAAATGCTGAAAAATATATTAATTTAATTCAAATGTGTAATAAATTTAAGCAAAATTTCTTCTTATTTAATATTTTTAAATGAACTGAGCTGGGTTTGAAACTATGCATATTGCTTACCTACAAGTTCTAGGCCATGTTCAAAAACATAAATTTTACATAAAAAAGTTTTTAGACAAGTACTCCCACATTTTTTTACTTTAATTCACCTATAATGGTGCTGTTTTTGGAAATTTACTTGTGTGTGTGTGTGTTTTTTCAATATTGAGTACACTAAAAAAAGAATGTACTTGATATAGAAAAATATTTTCTTATGTGTATATGTTTCTCATTTTGTATATTTAGTACATTCATAATTTTTTTTTCTTTTTTTAAATACACTAAAAAGTTTTATAAAAAACTATATTTAAAGTAGATTTTGGTGAAATAAACTCATGTTTGTGAAAATTGCAACACCATGAAGGACTTACGCAAGTGAGCTGAAATTTTCAGGAAATGCAAAGTAAAGCATAATATGCAAATGATTAGAATTTCAGACCCGTAGCGCATATGTTTGCTGAGCAGCGCCCTCTGAGCGGTGGATAGATCCGAATAAATAGATGGCTGTAGCGAGGCGTGTATGGTTATTGGTGGTTATCTGCTAGTGGTGAACGTTAGCTCAGACGTTACTTATGCCTCTTCGACAAAAGAGAGCGAGATTTCAACAACTTACGGAGTTTGAAATGGGGAGAATCATCGGCCTTTGTGAAGCTGGATTGTCTCATCGTGCAGTAGCCGCTCGTGTGCAGCGTAACAGCAGCACAGTGATGCGTGTTTGGAAGCAGTGGACGGACGAGTGTCAGACAACTCGGAAATCCGGGAGGGGACCCCGAAATGTCACGTCACCTCGCGATGATAGACACCTGGTTCGCATGGCGCTGACAGACTGTACGGCTCCCTCTAGACAACTGGTAGCACAGTGGTCCATAGCTACAGGTGTTTCATTGTGTGCTTCATCAATTCGTAGACGTCAACTGCAGCATGGACTGCGCGCAAGGACTCCTTTATACAGGGTCACCCTCACGCTAAACCATAGCCGCCTGCGGCTACAATGGGCCAATCAGCATAAGGACTGGCATGCTGATTGGCAGCATATCGTGTTTTCTGACTAATCCCGCTTTAATTTGTGGTACCATAATGGCCGCATTCGTGTCAGACGCTATGCCTGTGAACGCCACCTTCCGGAGTGCTTTATCGAACGCCACAGTGGACAAATACCCGGAGTTATGGTCTGGGGTGTCGTAGCATATCATGGACGATCTCAATTGCTACGAATTGTGGGTCATCTGAACAACAACCGGTACATCTGAAGTTTTACAGCCCCAAGCTGTTCCCTTCCTTCAAGCCTTGCCAGGCACTGTATTTCAACCAGACAATGCCCGCTCTCATGTTGCTAGGACTGTTCAATCCTTCCTTGCATTGCGGCAGGTACAGCTTCTTCCTTGGCCTGCGTATTCCCCAGATACGTCACCGATTGAACATGTGTGTCATTTTGTTGGTCGGTGCCTCGCTCGTGATCCTCGTCCAGTTGCTTCTACAGACGAACTTTGGGTACGCATACAAACTATATGGAATGTTCTTCCTCAGACAGACGTTCAAAATTTACTTGACTCCATACCACGTCGTGTAGCAGCGCTTATTGCGGTGCGTGGTGGCTACACAAAATACTGATTTCGATCTCTTATTATTGTTTGTTTGCTTTGAAAGTTTAATCATTTATTTGTACCACTACCACTTAACCGTGTAGTAAATTTCATTCAATTATGACGATTCCTTCATGGTGTTGCAATTTTCACAAACAGGAGTTTATTTTGGTAAAATATTATACATTTTATCAAAGTTAAAATTTTTCTTTTATTTCATAAGCAATGAAGAATTTAAATATTTATATTTTTTAGATCATTAAAATGTGTACTGTCAATAGAGTGCATCATACAAAGGACATTTCTAAAAAATACAAGATCTCATTGCTGATTCAATAACTTAGTCAAACTCAAAACATAGAAAAAGAATATTAAGTGCATAAACTGTTCGTCTTATTTCAGTAGTATGGGAAATTCTTCCATGATCTCAATCCAAAGACTTAGCCTTTAATTCTGATAGATCAATCTTATACTTTGATTATTTATTGTCTGTTATATTAAATTTTCTGTTATTGTCTTTTTATTTATGTTAATGTATGTTGCGTTTAGGTTTGCTTCATGGTGCAGGTTGGCTTATTCCTCCTAAAAGGCAATACCAACCAGTAACAGTATCTTTTGAAATGACACCTAGCAGCCTTGTGAAATATGTATCAAAAGTAGCTTTGTATCATTCTCTTGGAGAAGTATTGTTGTCATCAGAATCAACATATGTGAACGAAAATGGGGAATATGAAAAAAATATCTTACTACTGACGACTGAGGTTTGGTTCACTGCCAAAAATTATTATCAAATGAATTCTAATTATGAAAAGATTAATTATTTTCTTCTCATTTTAGAATTAGTGCTTTAAATTATGTAATTATTTGTATACCACATCTTTATGTTCGCTTTCTGAGTAAAAATTATATAGTTAACCTTCGGTTAAAAGTGTATATTTGTTGAATTAACCTTCTTGACCTTCAAATCATTTGAGCAAAGTGACTATAAACACTTTCAATTCTATCCTTTCAATTTTTGAGAGTTACTTGCATACTCCTTCTACTACTGCAGCTACTAACGCCCTCAGTTGACAAAAAAAGGAAGAGTGGAGCGGGAATTGCTTTACGAAAAATCATTACAAAAGACGCTCTGATTCTAAGGAAGGAATATTCTATAGCATTGGCAGTCAAGAAAGGGGCATCCATCTTAACATTCTTGCCACCCTTTTTTAATCTGCATTATTTATTCTTTAGAGTTATCATTATTAAAATATTTAACGATAGACACTGAAGAGAGAATTGGTGATGAAAAAACAGAATCTATACAATAAAATGTTCAACTTCTAGGGGAAAAAAAGAGAAAAACTTCTAAATTGAATGTTTAAAATTATTAACGTCCCTGTCTATTTCTAAGAAATTAAGATAACAAAATAAAACATTCATCATAAGTAATGAGATCAGGCCTTGTAGTGGACCAAAGAAAACAGGACATTTTTTGGAGCACTATACAGTTATATGTATATATACCAAACTACTTTTAAGATGGGTAAATGGCTAACTAAAGAAAGGCTACTTTAACATGATTTTTCTGATTTTGATATTTTTAATATACAATGTTATTATGACATTCGAATTAGTATTTTGAGCGTTTGACGCGCTCGCTTCCATCATAATTTCAATTCGTTTGATGATAGCTTTTTCGACAGTTATTATTTTTTTGAGACTTTTACATGGTTTTTCAAATCCGTCTTATTTTCTAAACTTTTCTTCATCTTTCTTTTCTATTTTATTTTATTTAGTTATTTATTTGATTTTTATTTTTTTTTGGAAATTCTGTTATTATTCTAATATGTTATGACAATATGCTAATTAGAGTAATAAATTATTTGGCCTGCTGGATTCGTGATGTTTCCATCGTACATTTCCTGTCATTTTACGGCAGCTATCAATTGATTTTTCAGATTCCGATGTTTTTAATACGTTATTGCAATGTTTGATTTTGAGTTATCCCTTTCTGCACATTCAATTTGTGATGATTGTATCGTAATTTCACTTCGTTTGATGATAGTTTTCCTAATTTATTATTTTTTGGCCCTGTCCATGTAGAATTCCGATATTTTAAATACAATGCTATTACGACATGTATATTTTGATTTTGAGTTTCACTTCCTTACGTCTTTGATTTAATCTTAATATCATAATGTCTGGTGATAGTTTTTTTGGCAGTTATCATTTTTTTTCAGCCTTTTTCTCATGAGTTTTTGAATTCTGATATTTTTAATACCATGTTATTACGACATTTGAATTAGAGTTATGCCTTTTTAACATGTTCAAATCAAGCTAACTTGCACTTGCCATCATCGGACAATAATCATTTCGGGATTTTCTACAAGATACATGGTTTTTTTAAATTTTGATGTTTTTAACGCGCTATTACAGCATGGGAATTTTGAATTCTGTCTAGTTTGTCGTAAAAATCATCATGTCGTTTCTGCTCGCTTTTTCCCAGAATTCTCCACAAAACAATTTTGTGCAATCATTTTTATAAAGTGAAATTTCGTGAATGGGCTGTTTTTACAAATTCAAATTTTGTGAATATCCCGTTTTTAAAAATTTGTATTTTGTGAAGGGGCCGCTTTTTTAGAATTTGAATGTTGTGAAGAGGCCGCAAAACCCCTTGATAGACCTCTGATATCTGTTTGGAAAATTTATTTTTTATAATAAATGGACAGATATATTACCTTTTTTTAATCCTTTATTTTTATTTCGAGTTATTTTATTTGTTACTTGCAAAAATAATGGAAGATAGTTACATAATTTGCTCTTCCCTTTTTTTCCTTTAATGTTTTCGCGTCTTGCTTTCACTTTCAATGATGTTTATGTGTCTAATTTATTTTATTTTATTTTTTTAATGAAAAGTAAAATAAATTGCTCTTTTTTTAAAAAATTCTGTTCTTTCTAATTTATTCTTTAATATATTCCGCGTTAGCAAGATTTGAAGACGATAAAGCTTACTTTTTGTAGCATTGATCATTTTACTTTCAATTGGGTATAATTCCTATTTATTGTAACATTAATTTTATATTTAATAAAAAATTTCGGAATGCTGATAATTTTCTTTTAAACACTTTTGTTTTGCGAAGACATAAATTTCTACATTAATTTCTATTGATACACTAACAGAATTTTGCTTTGTGAAGACATAATTTTTTTACTGATATTTGAAATAAATAAAATTCCCTATAATAAATTTCTACTTGTAGTGTTAGACTTTTTAATTAAATATACAATATAATGTATAAATTACGAATTTTTTGTGGGTCACTGTATATATTGACCACCACATTGTCAGTACAGTCCGCAAAAAAAAAAACGAATCACCCTGAATAACTTTCGTTCTAATGATCGGATTTTCACGAACTAAGTAGTATTTGCGATCAAACCTGGGGGTGACCTCAAATATGCTAATTAATTAGTGCTAACTATTAATTAAGTTACGAAATCAGACACAAAAACGTACTTTCTCTGAATAAACAT